GTTTCAGCTGCAGGCTGATAATGTGCTGCAGGTGAAATGGAGATCATTTCATTTCCAATTTTTTCACATTTTCTCCAGAAAATTTCTATTAGTTAACTGAAGACAGCAGATAAAATTTATGCTCCTAAAACCCTAAATCTAGAAAGCAAATATAGTTAATGTTTGGGCTAGAAATTACACCAGGAAACTGCAGGTGTTACCGCCACATTATTATACTACTATATTTGTCCGTTTTTCTTTCCCCATGACTTTGTAGCAGGTGTATCTGTGGAGCAGGGTTGAATTTGAGAAGCAACCTGCAGAGAAGCCTTGTGTTCAGAGGAAAGCTGTGTGACTTCCCTTCTCTCTGTGCACAGGCCTGAGGAACAGGAGCTAGTGCTCTGTTTCAAACCTTCAAATTTCCATGAATGAGTAAATAGAGGGTGAAGGTACCTTTGAAATCCTAAAATTGCAGCAACATGTTGTATAGGAGAGCAAACCACTGAATTAAAAAGTTGAGAGCCTGGGGTTGGGTGAGGAATACTGCTGGTTATGTTTTTGTGATATTTAGTCAGCGCTTGGTTAGGGTAGCGTGAAGTTTTCCAGAACAAAACTTAGCGTGCATCTTAAAACCCACAGCAGGGTTACATGGAGGATCTGGACACAAAGAAGGAAAATACTTAAGCAATTATTGCTAAACAAGCAATTTTCTTTTTTTTTTTTTTTTTTTCCCCAAGTATGGAAACTTAGTATCATATCTAGGCATGTATAACTTGCCAAGTTTGCTTTAGCCAGTGGTTTATTTCCCCTCTAGTTACTATTTGACCTCATCTACTTGTTGGTATAGCCTGCACATTGGTCACATTTGCAGCTTTTAAGTAGGCTGTATGGGGGGAAGGAAAATGTCCAAATTATTTTGGAAGAGGTGAGATGAAGCTGAAGAAAATAAGTTATTTGGTCCCTTGAAGAGCTGAGGCCTCTGTATTGGAGTAGTCTCCTCTGCTTCTCCTTGTTCTGGCAGCCTCCAGAAGGTTGAGTTAGCCATGTTATAAAGAATGTCCTTCTATTGTGAAGTGATCTCTTTAGATTTGAGACACAGCTAACTTCTTTTTCCAGTACTGGGTAGCAGGGAGGCTGTCTGGTGGGGGTCTCTGGTTCTGTGGGGCCACAGCGTGCCGTGCCGGGGTCAGGGATGCCGCCGCTTCCATCCCAGCACTGTCCCTCCTCTCCTGAGAACCAACACGTTGGATGGCTCTTGCACTTTTTGTTTCACCAGACTGAAGAACAGTTCAAGGTAAGTATAAACTGACCATTCTGATGACTCAGTTCCCTTACTGCACTCAAAATAACTTTTAAACTGTTTACTGGAGACTTTTCATTCTAACTTTGTTGCTCCTGCAGCTGGTTTTCGTCGCCTGCTCTCTGATGTTACTTCGGCCCTGGAATCAGTAGGATCTGCTTTACAGACCACTGGACACTTGTCTCGGCCCAGCTGTGCTGTACAGGTCTTTAGCAAAACAGATCCTTCAGCTACATTCTCAAAATACTAACCTACAAAAGGATTAATGCATGGACAAAAAAAAAACCCAACTGTTTTATCTCTCTTGGGAGACTGCAGTTCTGTGGTTGGAATACAACCAATATGAAAATAAACTAGCAATTTCCTCTAGTTTCAAAAGCAGATAACCACTTGAGCAGCTATTCGTAAAGCTCACAGACCATCTTTTCTTATCAGATCATCTTTCCTTATCAGTCTGCTAAATTATAATCCATGATATATAGTTTTATTTTAACAACTTACAATGTAAACATAAGATTACGGTTTTTTACTACATTCACAACAGATAACACAGGCAGATCAGAACTGCTGCATTTGACCTTAATTAATATAACCGTAATTGATATTACTGACTGTAACCTAAAAATGTTATTCAGTGGTTGAGATAACTTGCTGCTCTAATAGCCTAGCACAGGCCAAACTTACGCAGTTGTTCATGCTAGTGGGAGTAATACGAGTAGAACCAACTCAGGTTAGATGTTGTGTGTTTACATGATGAGGTATTTTGTATTTGCTATTTTCACCTAATGCAGCTTGGTTTATAAAAATGTATTTTGAGGCCTGACATGACACAGAATAGTTGTCTAAGTTTGCTTTGATCAGGGGTGGGACTAGATTACTTACAGAGGCCCCTTCCAACCTCAACTAGTGAATGATTCTATCAGTTGTAGAAAATAAGGTGTTACCTGTGCAAATGCCCTAAATATTTTAGCCAATGAAGCATCATTTACTTTATCTCTGTACCTAGCTTTAGCAGAAGTAAATTGCTGTGTGCTTGTACCCATGCAGTAGCTCAGGTCTTCAAATCACCAAAGCAAGGTGCTTGGCAATGATCCCTCCTCCTGCACTGTGACCATTTAAGGAGTGGTGTCAGCAGGTCTAAAATACAAGTTGGTGAGGCAGTTGTCCTCCCTTTTGCCTAAGTTGCCTGAGTGGTGGGTAAGCTGGTAGAGGTGGTTGCTTTCTTCATCTCCTGCCTAGCTGTAGCCCTATCTGCTCGGTACAGCACTCGGGGAAAAAGCCAGCTATACTGAGCTCAGTTTTCAGCCAAGGGGAAACTCCAGTTGCCATCTCCATGGGCAAGAAAACAGATTGATGGCTGCTGCTGACTGAGGAATGTGATAATCATGCATAGAATGTGACCAGTAGTTGTTGTTGCTCAGTCCTTCATTATTCAGTCCTATGACTGTGCTTGATGCCAGAGTAAAATCCTGTTCTCAGTTAAGAGGCACAGCTTATTTGTAACATGTCGAGGAAAATGCAGACTTGACTGGAAAAAAGAGCCACTATTCTCTGAATTCTTAAAGAAGTGTCTGCTGAGAACAGCCTTGTTCTATTATTTTTTAGGTCATGAAGATAGTGAACCATCAGCCCCATAATCTGTAAAAATGCTTCAGTTTTTTTCAGGGAATCATCAGCTGTTGCATACATGATGGGATCTTTTTAACCCCAAATGAATGTGAAGGGGAGAATTACTAAGGTCAGTGCAATCTTGTAGTAATCCTGACAAAAGATTGGTCAATGTAAATGACTTAACTAATACTGAATTATGGCAGTTTCATACAGGTACCGATGTCTGCCTTTTCCCTTTAGGTGTTCAGCTTCATTTTTGCCTGTATATTGCCTGGGCTATACCACTTTAAAGTCAAAAGGAGGAAGGAAACCAGTGCTAAATGTACAAGTTAGGGCGTTGTCTGTTAGAGTGGGTGGATGGCCAGGGTTGCAGTGCCAGAAGGGAACGGTTAGGGGTTTTCCTAGCATTCTTTTCCACAGATAACTCTTCTGTTTATGTAGTATAAAGTTTAGCAGTAATGTGTTTCTCCCTTTCACCAAGTTGCCATACACACATCCTTTAGATGAGGCCAGGAATTTTCTTAAACAAGTTTTTATAACTGGATTGCTTCACCAGTTTGGGATTCTTTAACCAGTTTTTACCCAGACTCCTCTTAAAAGTTCATTTGATCTGTTCATCTGTAGAAGGGGTTTAAATGTGTCATATCTCTATAAACTCAAATTATGCTTAGAGAAATTAAGGGGTGAGAATAGCATAGAGCTGATGAAAAGTGATGGCAGGTCATTGCATTTTGGGATACTGTGACTATCCTGTCTTTGTTAGGACAGGTCTAAGTTTGTCACTCACAGCAGGCTAACTGCCAGATACTGCTCTACCACTGCTCCTGTGCACGTGGCTATTTTTAAAAAATTATCTTAATGCTTATTTTATGTCATGCTGAAACTTCTGTAGCATGCCTTGTCCTGTGCCCTGGTAGCAGTTCTAGGGGGGTTACCAACAAGCATACAGGGACTCAGCTTTGCAGTTATGTGCCTGTGTGTCCTTCCTTGCTGAATTAAAGCAGGAAAATGGCAGTTTTCTAGATGCTGCAAGGGACTTGAAACTAGTTACTGAGAGGAGCAATTAGTGTTTTACAGAGAAGAACAGGCCATGCCTGGTGGAGCTCTGCCAGATGCAGCTGAAAGAGGATGCGCTTTGTTGGGGGAGTAAAGAGTTAAGCTTTGGCCCTAGGGAGATGGTGGATTATTACACTGGTCATTCCTGCATACTGTAGGCTCTTTTTAGTAGTGCTCTCTTTTCCTATTTTCCCTTACACCTTGAAAGGGTGTAGCAACAGTTCTTCCTCCAGTCTTTGGTGCTGTACCCTAGGAATCACTTGCTCATTCATCTTCACAACAGTGCCTATCCAGATACTACAACAAAGAAATCCCGGTCATTCTGCACACCTTTAAATATTCTTATCTTGCCTAATGAGAGAGAATGCTCTGCCAAACAATACCATCTTACTCTTCTAAGGTAACTTTTGTAAAAAATAAGTTCTAGTGTTTTTTGTTTTGGCGTCTCCATAGTTACACTTTCAGCAGATTCATGACACTGAGAAATGAGTGAACTCGGGTGATAGTTCCAGGGCTTTGAATTTCTTGCTCGGAACAGAACTGTGAACTTTAAGTTATTTCTAGAAAGGTTTTTAAAATGACAGTAAACAATTTACTAACACCAACGTGAACATTTTGGAAGATGAGCAAGAAAGTATTACAGCAGCAAAAGAAACAAACATATTCCAAATACTCTCATACCAACGCAGTGATCCCCAACACTTCAGCATCATAAATTCATCTGGAGTCACAGTAAAATGGAGAACACAGTGACATTTCCATTCCACTCACAGCAATTTCATAAAGGATGAAATTCTTAAATAGAACCAGTGAGCCACCGAGTGGATTTGCACAGCAAAACAGTACCTGGCACTATAATTCTCACATTAACGTTTCTGTGGTTTCAGCTACATTTGGATGGCACTTCAATAGTCCCAGAGCTATAGGGGTTGTGCTGCATTTGGGTACAGCCTTCAGATTATCACTTAATAAAATAGATCACTGAAGTTCAGATTCACACTGGCACTGGCTGTGATTTAGATGAGGAAGGACAGAGATCTTTGCTAGATGTTAGCTAGCTGGAGTCCATTCCTTGGTCTTCTGCTTCTGGCTCAGGAGGATACAATTCATCCAAAATCAGCTCTGTAACAACCACAAAAATAAATAATGCTTCAGAGAGTAATTTTTCTACGTGGTGTAGTATCAGTCTAGCTGGTCTGGTATCTGCTTGTATTTTAAAACATATTGACTATAGAAGGCTACAGCAAATATCCTTTTTCAAGGTTCCATGCAAACAGGCCTTTAGATCTGTTTTTGTCACACAGACTTCTTCCTCTCTTTAATGCCTTTTCAGGCGTAAAGCAGAGAACTACTTTGGGCAGTCAAATGAATTTAGCTATTAGTGGAAAACCAATCAAGGGCGCTGTTATTTTGCAGCTAGTTCTGACTATTAAGGAGGAGAGGCAATGTCATGAGATCCCCTCACTCTAGGTAGGAAAGGGACACGGGAGGTGTGCAAAGTAAGGGGCAAGTCCTGATGGACATGTACTGGAGAAATTTTGAGGGCAGAAGAAAGATATTAAGGATGCAGGGAAGAAAAACCAACCAATTGCAGGGAGAAGGTGTAATGCCACTAGAGACTTGGAATATTTGTTTTGGTTTTAAATAATGTATAATGCAGATTCTTCTACTGAGGAGAGCTGGAGCACAAGACTTTCTTTAATCAGATAAGAGGGGCTTATTTCTGTGGAGAGAAGAACAAGATAAAACTATTAAAGAATAAAAGAGCAGTGATTCAGTATAATGAAGATTGAGAAGCACTGGACTATAGACTGCCTTCAGAGATCTGAGTGACAAACATCTATGGTATCTGGTGCATGGTACTTGTTAAATGAGGAAAGGGACAGAAGTGGAATTTCTAGTTCTGCAGCATGGAGAAAAGCCAACGTTATCCTTTGATTTGTTTTACCTTCACAAGCACTCAGTTTTTGAGTCTTTTTGAGAATGGCTCTTATGGCTGGCATGGCTTGGTCATATTGATGGAGAACTTCCAAACAGTGTTCATGAAACAGTTTATCTTTCTGAGATAGGCTGTGTAAAAGTAAAACAGCATCCCGTAAGAACTGAATAATTTTTTCCTTAAGTGCACACGAGCTGTTCTCAGATCTTCTAATCTTCATCCACTGTCTATGTAACATTATGATTAGTGCCTTAACCACCTGCAAGAGGAAAAGAAGTGTCTCAAATCACCAAGTGTAGTAGCAAAAAACTTAGTTCATTATGAACTTTACTGATTTATCTCTTCAGGCTTCCAAATTCCAGAATATTTTTTAGCAAGTGAAAGCAACCTTTCTAGAAAGCAACTTTCTAGAAGGTAGCATCCTTTAAAGTACAGTACACTTACAGTTTGATGTAGCTAAAAATCTGGCAAAAAGCCATTTCAGCATGGAGTAGCTTTGAAGTTGTCACTAGACTGAACTCAGCCAGCATGGGGACATACCTCGAGATTACACTGGCAGTCCGTACCGGGCAACAAAGCCACTGGCCGGGAGCACCGCAGACACCTGGTCAGGAGCCTGACTGTCTGTTGCGAAACACAGAGTGCGTTAGTCCTGAGTGCTGGGGCTTTGCACAATTATCAAACTGTTAAGCTGCAAATAAAGGGAGGTTGAAATTATATTGCTAGTTTCAAATGTCCTTGGTTTTCTTCTTAACAGTTGGATCTTTTCTACCCCCCCCAAATTAAATGGTTTTCCCTGTAAAACTTCACAGATGCAGAATTTGCCTTGTATAAAAACTTTTTCAACTTTGAGAAAGGCTAACAAGGTACAGAAGACCTTAACTCACTGCATACAAATATGTTTACACTTGATACAACAATGTAGGTAGGGGGATAATTAAAATGGCTCAAAATCCTATCAAATGAGAGCAGAAGTGGAGCTAATAGTAGAACCTCAGACAAGTAAGAATACAAATTAAGTTCAAAAGCTATTCTTCCTATATATAATGATTATTCTACAGCAAGCTAGCACTTCCACTGATTAAAAAACAGTATAATCCTAAATTATGACTGCCTTTTATATGTAATAACTCAGAAGATACAGTTAAGGAGTAATTAATACCATCAGAATGGATCAGATCTTTCTTCCTTTTACTCGTATCAGTCTAAATGCAAAATAAAGCTCAGTGTTGAACATTTACAGCCATCCCAGAATCTTTCTTGCTTTTTCAGTGACTTAACTATGACAATTATGACTCATGTTCTCTTTAAGAATAGTTGATGAATCAGTTTCATGCAGCTACTCTTAAAAATCAGTCTCATCCCTTACTGCAGGCCTATACTTTCAGTGTTCTATTTCAGCTGGAGAAAGAACCTGGTTTTGGACAATCTGTGTATTGCCCTGCTCTTCCCACTGCCCCAGCTGTGAATGAACAGCTGTGGTTACCTCTTGTTCCAGCTGAAGCCAAAGCATTTCAGATGCTGATTTATCTGGTCTTGATGTGATATACATGTACAGTGCAAGAAGAAGGCAAGTGTCTGCAATAAAGAGAACTTTGTTCTTTTCCCAACTAGTCAATTGTTTGTCACAAAAATTAATATTCTTGGTCATGAAAATGCTTCAGAAAATACACAGAGTGGTATCTCGGGACTCGCGATCCAGGCTCAACTTCTTGCTTTACTTCAGACATCTTAAGTAGTGCTGAAGAAACTCATATCCCTAAACTTTACATACACGTTTGTGGCAATACTGTCCTACCTCATTCATAAGGAACTGGACAAAGGCTATTTGTCATGCAGAGTACTGGAATGCCTAAACTCAGTGTCATGACAGCAGATAAATTAAAACTTCACAGGTCCATGAAGGTCCTTTTGTCTTCATCAACTGTTAATGTAACAAACACCTGGAAAGTAGTTTTAAAAATCCACATGGGTATCAAAAGCACTGTGTGTAGACAGATACCACAAGATGAAATACTCTTCAAACACTGCACTAGAAAACAAGTTTTCAGGTACCATAGCAGGCTTTTTGCTTTTGCAGTTCTAAGACCTTGGAGCAGGGTCTTAAAACTGTTTGCATTACTTGATCAAGATCTTGGTAAGATCTCTGTGTTACCCAGTCTTTTACCTGAATGAGAACAAAGTTGAGCAACCAAGGTGTGGTGTTTCGAAAAAATGGCCAACAGCCTGACGGTAGAAAGGGCAGCAGGCAAAGGGGTCTCTGGACACAGACACCAGAGCAGTGTCTGGCTACTCAGTAAGTGCTGAAAACTTCAAAAGAAAACTTGTCGTTAGGACTGGGAAATGCACTGAAAGGTCAAAAATATACTAGTTCTTCTACACAGCATCATAATTTGTGCCTCTTTAGCCACTCAAAAGATAAGTGATCTCAACTCAGGTGTCATAAGCACAAAGTATCCTGAAAAACATATTCTGTTATATTTGGTAGTTGGCCTGCAGTTTGTACTGAGGTTATGTAGAGCATGAGCAGATCAAATGCCTCCCTTTTGAGTGTGTCATTTTACTTACCAGCATGAGACCCTCTGCCTTCATTCCCTATTCATCTCACAGCGATTGCAGAAACCCTAAAGTGAATATTACAGATATTCTGATCAACTGCATATGGCCTTAAGATGTCTCCTCACTTTTGAGTGACCATTCTACAATGACGTAGCAGCATCTGCTTCATAGAAACCTCTTAAGCAAATCTTGTTACTGATCAGGGGCAAATATCATGTTCATTAGCAGTAGAAGCAACAGAAATATTCTCACTGGCTTCTCAAAGGTGATTTGAGAAATGTCACATTCCGTCATACGTGTCAAAACGTCTACTGTCATCTGCACAAATTAGTTTCAACAGAGAATGAAAATTTCTAAGCGACATAGCCTGAAACAACATTAAAGTAATTACCAACTTACTTAATTAGCAAGTCTGCTGTTGAATTTTCAGCTAATTTCACCAAAACCTTTAGGCTTTGGTTCAGTATACTATCAGCCTGGGACCCTCTGGCAGCAGAAAAAGCTAGAACCTGAAGCAGCTTCGTAAACAAAGAATGTTGAGCTGGATCATTACTGGGAGCATCCTGAGGAGCTACAGGCAGTCCTCCTTGTGTCCTGGTACCTTCTTTATTATCACGCAACACATTTTTGTCCATCTTGGGAACGTGGCCAGTGGCAGAACTTTTTTCCACTTCCACAGATAGCAATGTGTGGACAACATCCCAGCTATAAAACACCAAATAATAAAGAACACCCAGTGATATAACTGTAGTTTCTTCAGTAGACAACCTGAAGTCCTCCTTACTTGACACCATATTTGTGTTGGCTCTGGAAGAAGCAGCTGCATGGTTTCCACAAGAACCATTTACTGATGTGTCCACCAGTTGTACCGCTTGGCAGTATGCATCAAGGTAATGTTCCACCAAGGGCAAGAGGTGCACGGCGCCTCGGATCTTGCAGCGTGTGAGGTGAAAGAAGTCTCTCTGGCTTTCTGTTGGGCTTCCTTCAGCTAATCCTTCATCCACAGCGATCAAGTTCAATCCTGTTATTGCAAGTTTTTGAGCTTCTTCCAAGGATACAAGAGGAGCAATTTCTTCCTGAGTTGTTCTGCTGCTGAATGCTTGTGTAGACTTCCTGTCCATGTAAAATTAAAAGAGCAGAAATACTTCAGAAGAACAGGGAGAGAACATAGTTGAAATTTGAGTTACCCTTAATTCTGAATCAAATAATAGATAGGTTAGAGTAATAAGAGATATCTGTTCCCAAAATAAAAAGTAAATTGGGGGGGGAAGGGAAAAGGCAAATAATCCTACTCCTTGATAACTGCATGGAAGAACAATTTCAAAGCATTCTTAGGTCTTGTGCAAGTAGTCAGAGCTTACAGCTGAGTAACTTCTGCAGCTCACTATAAGCCATTGTCTGAAACTGCATTTCAGACATTGGCTTTCCCATTGCATGCACTTGATAATCTGTCTTATATTCTAATTGTTCCCTGATGTTATTTGCTAGCTTCTGGGAAAAACGAGTTGATCTGAAATATGTAGGGGCCTTTAAAGGACTATAACAATAATAACAAACTATTTTCTTGGCCAGAGACAAGAGTTCAACTATTAACTACCCAAACTGCAACTAAAAAAGCCAAATGTACCCATAACGACAGGGGCAATGAGACATGAAACTTGCTACGAACCACAAAACACAAGAAATAATAACAAAGTATGAGAATCATAGAATCATAGGGGTTGGAAGGGACCTCGAAAGATCATCTAGTCCAACCCCCCTGCCAGAGCAGGACACGTAAAGGTATTTCAGTTGCTACAGTCTAATTCCTTAAAGTGAAAAACTATTGTAATTTATACCAAATATTCATATTTAAAATGTTACTGGTCACTACAGATACATCTCGGAACACTGCACAGAAGTTGTATCTGATGAATGGTACGCACGTGATCACTTCTGTATGCATCCCTCATTGTGAGGCAAGTTCTGTGTCCTTAAGTGTTTTAACAGCAGCTTCTAACAGTCACTCCCAGGTTTTACAAAACATGTTTCTGTGCCATCCCCTAACACATAATTAACCTCATTTATCTCTTAGTGTTGTTCTACTCTTTAGTATCTATGATAATCAAAGATTAATAATCCACGAAGCAGAATGATGTCCCAAATTTTGCATTAAGTGGCCTAAGCAGAACAGCATTTAACAAAAAGAATGAGCTATCCCACATGAGTAAGCATTTCTTAGTATAAAGAATGCTACTGTATTAAGAACATGGCAGATACAGTTAAGAAAAAAAAACAAACAAACAAACTTACATATCCAAATAGTTAGGCTGCAATATAGCTCCAGGTAGAGGCTCAGAGCTAATACTAAGAAGATGGTGGAGTCCTAGTAAAGACCCAGGGACAATGGGCTGCTTCATCAGTGCGTTTAGTAAGATAGAACCTGAAAAGACACACAACAGACACAATTTGGAGTAGCTTTACCATCAACTGCAACATCAGCAACAACAAAAATAGTATATAAAAAAATTAGCCTTATTTGTAGTACTCTCAACCTCAAAAGTAATTTTTTCATTGCAAATCATCTTTCTCTACAAGAGAATCATTTTCAGACGAATTTAAGATATGACTTAAATACTAATCAAATTATATTTAGAGATATTTTAATTACAGTCCCATATTAGCAAAACAGCTTGACCCAAGTGATCATATGTCCAAACTATCTGGATGATTTGCCCTCCATGTTCCAGACCACACTAATATTATGTGATGGTATTCTATTCTGAATTGGAAATAGTACCCTGAAGATCTGCTGGTGTTGACTGTTGAAAATGTTGCTTTATTGTTTTTATTTTAAATTTTTTTAAAAAAAAGTCTTTCCTGGTTTTATATCAGTTTACAATAAAAAGCAGAATATATTAATGGTGAAAGAGCCAGCCTTGTAGTAAGATACCTCTTGATCCGTATCTTTCCATAAAGAAAAACTTTTTTCTTAAAGAGAATAACAACATAAGAATGTTTTTAGGATACAGGATAATAACAATGATATGAAATGTTTTACTGCAAAATCACAATACTCAAGGCAAAAAACGGCTAGCTGGACAGCACCTCTCCATGCAGTGGCACTGGACGTGTCAGGCCAAGGAGCCTGCTGTCGGAGCCCTGCCTCAGGAACCCCCTTTCCGCAGCAACAGGATTCAGTTACCTTGTGCGTTCCGTTTAGGGACAGAGTTGTAGGAACTGTTTTTTCCCATCGGTTCATGCTTCACAGGTAAAGCTTCAGGATGGGTTATCTTACTGTCTAAAACAAACAGTGATTATGAGTCCACTGTGAGAACTGCATCGCTGGTGTATCTGCGCTTACCCTTTATTCACATTCATCAGCCACAGCCGTTACAGTCAATAAACAGACCAGTAACAAACATGTCCTGTGGAACTCAAATACATCAAACTACAGTTAACAGCTGTGATGTAAGTAGAACTGTTCCCCAAAATAAATTAGAGAAGTGAATAAAATTTCACCTTTACTGCCACATGTTCTGCAGATTGTTCAGTGCTACTGCTCTCAACTTTTTTTTTTAGAAAAAAAATACCACCTTAGGTTGAATTCCCACTACTAGCAGACATTTACATGACTATGTTAGTTAAAAATCAACATAACATTCTAAAAGATTAAATAAAAAATTTAAAATTGAGCATTACATAATCTTCCAATCATCTATATGGTCACAATTACCAGCCAAACTGAAGCCAAAAGCCTTCCAGGGTTCGGGATACAAATAATCATGTGTGGTTTTCAAACAAATAGGCTTATGGAGTGTTGTTACCATAATTAACAGCCAGGAGGCTGAAAAAATAGCAATACTAATGCTTTAAGGCTACTTCTTTTACTTTTTGGTGTAGTTCATAGAGCCCATACAGTTTCAGATTGAATATTGTAACAGTAACATCTCAGATTTTTCATTACTTCTTCTGTAAGGATTAGCTGATGATATCTAGATTTCTTCAATATCTTATTTCCTACTGGAAACATGACAGTCAGCTGCTGTTTTTATTTTTAACACCATTTTTCTTTCACATAGTAGCAATCTTCAAACACATGCATATATTCCATTTCCTAAACTCTACTCAATGAATTGCAAGATACAATTTTGTACAAATTACTGCCCTACAGAGAAAAAGAGGAAAAGAGTACACTGTTTCAGCTGCTTCTTTCAATACAGCTAAATATGTCTCCTTTAAAATAAAATGCCCCCAAAATGTCAGCTTTAAAGCCCAAATCCCAAGAATACAAGAAGTGCATTAGCTGACTAGCAGACCAACTCATGAAATAAGCAAATTATTTCCTGTTCTTCTTTAAAGAGGAAGGCAGATTAACAATTTGGGTATTTCAGTTCATTACATAATAGATGGAAATTTTTCATTACAGCCAACAGTCACTTGATGTCATTGACACCTTTACATGTGATACAGGCATTATCAAGGTGTGAGTTAAAATGATCCTGATGTAAATTTCACTCATAGCTATTTAATGTCAATTGGTATAAAATCAAAAGAAATTTAAGCAAAATCAAAATGAAACAAATACTTGTTTTACTCTGTAGTGAGCTTAGTGAAACTGTTCAGTCAGGTAGTACAAAACCCCTTATCTAAGGCAGAATGTTCCCATGCAGCTAAAAATGTTGCAAATTTTACATGGTTTTACCTTCTTTGATCAAAGTGGTCAGGGCCCCCACATTTCCTGAAGAACATGATGGTCTAGTGGACATTTCATCTTTGAAGGATTCCTTTGTAGGAAAAGATCTTTTTCCAGCCTGTGGAGAACATCCTTCTGATTTCACTTGTTTGGCAAAATTCTTTTTAGGGCTAAAATAAAAATCAAATACTTGGATGAATCAGTGTTTCTTTTGTAGTTATTTTATTAAACAATAAAGAAGGATCTATTCACACTGATATTTTAAAGATACTTCACTACAAACCCTTTGCATTTCTGTCACAGATACAAGGAAGGCTCTTTTTGAGCAAATTCTCCAGAGGTCAACAGGCTTTTCTGGTCATATTTTTTAAAGGCAATAGAGCTAAGAATTACATGAAGGAATAAAACCTTTTTGATAATTTAAGCACAAGGAAACACAAATTTCTCCCATAAAAAGGAACACAAATTCATTTTCCAAAACTCCTACCTTGGCATTAAAACCATCTGAGTAACATGTTTAGTTCTTTCACAGTTCTGAAGTCGTATTCTTAATTCATTCATTTCTGCATCTTTGAATTGCAACTCTGACTGCAATGACAGTAACTGAAGGAGGAATTAAAAGACACTTTTACTGTTACTGAGAAACTTGGAGGTGTTATAACTGCACAGCAACTAGAATTACCATAAGGTTTCAAGACTACCATCTACTTACTGTGCACTCTGAGTAAGAGCTCTATTTTTACGTATGCTAGTCCAATTAACACTATCTTAGAACCAACTGTCAAATTTTCAGGCAAGAAGCATATGACTTGTTAAGGCAAACCAAGTGCCACGCAGAGCATGACTACAGCGAGGCCGTTAACAGCACAAGAAACAGGACAAAAGCAGCCCCTATCCTCTTCAGGGCTTTCAGAAAGATGACTGCAACAGAACAGCAATCTGATCCAAGTTATAAAGCATATTCTCTTGCTTTTTTCCATTTTAAAATACATTCCAATCTTAATGTACTTGCAATCGCTTTAAAAAAAAGCTACAACTGAACAAAAACCTCTACTACTTGAATTTTACTCTTATTTTGGGAGAAGAAAACCCTCAGCAAGTTCTTACAAGTGCTTTCTTCTAGATAAAGAAATAAAAGCATAAATCGTTTGGAAATTTCATTCAAATATTATTCCTACGATTAGATAGTCTATGACATTATTAAGTCGTAAAATGCACTTCTGCATGTGGTGTGCAGAATATTGACATATTTACAAACCTTTTTGGAGAACTCTTTTTCTTTTTCACTTAAGGTCTGAGATTTTTGCTGTTCCAATAGCACATATGATCTTTTCTGTTCCTCCATAGCATGCTCCATCTGCTGCATTGAGTCACGCAGAATTTTAATTTCTCCATTTTTAATAAGAATTTCGTCCTGCATTTCTTTCAGCTGCAAACAGATTAATTCTGTTAAAGCATGTATATAAGCAAATGTATGTATTTATAATCACTACATGGCTGAAAATTAGGTATACTTTTTAGGGAGAAAAATGCTCCTGTAACCCAGTTCAGAAATTCCGCAGTGCTGCTTCTCACCTTCTTCTGATTCAATCAGGCTCAGCTACTGTTTTCTCTAACAGAATTATAAACTGTCAGCAGAGGCACAGCTTCAAATAGCACCGTGGTAACTGTCAGAGATGATTCTTCTCTTTCCCCTTCTCTGCAATTATGTTCTTTTTTTGAAAAGTATCCTAGCCATGCTCGTTGTTAATTTATGCATTGTTTGGATGATATCAATGATCATTTAATTATAATATTTCATCTAGCATGGAAGCCAGCAGGCATGCTGTCCTAAGACAAGCTGCCACCCCCAGGCAGTATCTTCACAACATACATAATCCCTATACTTTCTGAAGAGCCATCACCCTCAAAGACAAGACTTTGGAGAGATAATAAATGAGTTCTTCAGAAAAGCATGGAGAAAAATGCAGACAGACACTTCTATACCACTAGGTAAGGTGATGCTTTGCCTCCGTGTTGAACACGGTGCACAGGTAGGAGCTTCCTCAACAATGGAGGATATAACAGAGCTGGGAAAGATTCAGAGACCAGAGTTAAGGGTGGCAAGAGGAAGTAAATAGTGCAGGACCCTTCCACCTAGGGGAAAGCACAACTGTGATAAAACAAAATATAGAGGTGCAAGTGCTGTGCACAAGTTACTCCTGGTTTACTACCTCTCCTAACAGCCAACCTACATCCACTGAAAATCACTAGATGCAGAGTTCAAAATAAAATCAAAGAGGAAATTTCATGACACGATGTGTCGTTGAGCTGTAGACTTCTTTCACACTAAAGGGTATCCAAAACCAAACAGACAAGCATTTAAAAAACACATACTACAGAATGTTAAACACATGTATAATATTTCTGGTTCAGGAAGTACCTACGTGAATTTTTACCTGAGGCTAAAAGACTATCCTGGTAAAATATCATCATAAACTTGCTCAGGTCTTGTATTCTTCCTGAGCTGTCTGTCAAAAAAGGATGGACCTGGTATGGGCATTTGTACTTTCTCACTTTTCTGCACTGATTTCTTACCTCTAGTATCTTCCCATAAGGAATCATCAGGAGGTAAAGTAACATAATACAACTTAAAAGTCACTTTACTTTCACGACTCTTTAAATTGCACAAACCAAGTCTTGCTGATGAGCTGATAGGAGAATTGATTTGGTAGGGAACAAGTGACTGACAAATTACCAATTGCTAACCTGAAACAACCAAGAAGAAAAACATTTCTCTCACTCTTAAGAGCTGTCTCTAGGATGATGCTTTTAACAGATCCATGGATTTCAAAAATTCCTAATTGATTTGGATAGAATAAAATATCACAGAATCACAGAATGCTAGGGATTGGAAGGGACCTCTGGAGATCATCAAGTCCAACTCCCCTGCCAAAGCAGGAACATCTAGTCTAGAGCAAATACTTGGAACCAAACTTTTTCCACCTTTCAGTTAGCCCTATCAAAAATGTGATATCTAGGGGGAGGGAAGATCTTGCCAACCTTTTGTTTAATTTCGTCATGCTGTGTTTGCAGTACTTCAAACTGGAATGCCTCCCTCATCAGACTGTCTTCTGTGATGCTTCCTGTTGCAGAAAAAAAAGCCAAGATCTCTTCTGAAGCACAGATGACGTATGTACCTCACCAATGACTTAACATCAAGATTTTGTTATTTGCCATTACATTCATCTGAATATCCTAATATTTGTCCTGTCACTACAAGCAGGTGAACTGCATGCATCTTATCAGCAGTCACTTTTTTAGAGCCAATGCATCAATCCTTAAACACAGAACAAAACCTACCCCTTAAATATCTTAAACCAGTAGGATAACCAGTAAGACCATTTTTTCCCGAGATAATTATAGCTAGCACACCCTGCAAGGATAAGGGTTAACTGAAAACTTTTTTACCTGGAGAGATTACAAATGTTAAGCATTAAGATGAAGAAGACTTAAGCCCCCTTAATTATGAACATACCTCTATATACTACAAGTTTTTCTAAAGTAAATCTGAAAAGTGACTGTCAAGATGAGACACACTATGGTTTTACTAGTGAAAATTAACAGTTCGGAAAATAATATCTTTGGCAGCCACACGCATGGCACAATAAACTATGCTTAAAGCATGTTAGAAGTTTATGAAATGCGTTTGTTTTCTGTAACACGTTTCACAGGCAGGACCAGTGATACAGGTGGGGTTCCACACAGACGCAGTGCCAGAGAACAGGTTCCCGGTACCGTTCGTTTAATGCCAAGTGACTGCTCAGGCAACACTTCCACGAGCCTTTAGCTACCCCTGACCACTCGCCGTGAAGCTCTGGCGGCCGGGTGGGATGAGCAGCAGCAATTCGTAAGAGAACACCACACATTGTTCCCAGGTGACAGCAACGCGCGCAGCCACACCGACCTTCCGGCCTCCTACCGGCC